TGTTGGATTCTTCATCCCTTCCCGCAAAGCTTGGAAAATGCTTGGGGTATGGTGCCAAGACGCCTGCAGGTACAGTGGAGGCTTAGATTCAATGCGGGCCCCTCCCCACACTGAAATGAAGGGGCCGGATGGTTGGTTTGGTGTTTGTGATGTTTGGTGTCAATGAAGTCCATGATTCGTTTCATATCATCAACTTATGTCATCGACTCTGAAATTCACCACCCAAAGGGGGGGTTGATAGACCCCCCCGAATCCTGAAGATGTATCTTCCATCCAATAACCACCAGCTGGGTGGTGCTGGCACAGGGAGCCAACAAGTCTTTTGGATTCCAAGATCACACTGGAAGTTCGACCTTCGAGGCTTCACGGCCAGTTCGACCGCGGTGGCCGGTCCGGTCAACACGACGCATGGTGCCCCGAAGACGGTGTGACCAAACCGGTGCCGTCCACGGTCCATCGATAAAGAAAGCGTGTAATGTAGACCCTGTAGAAGGCAAAAACAATAGGAGATCCATGGAGATCCTAGGTCCTGACCAAAAGGTTTGGGTGATGTTGGGGGAATTGTCGTTTCTTCTGTTGGAGTCGACTCGTGCGCTTGCGCTTGTCTTCCCCGCGCGTGAGTGCGATTGCTTTCTGGGAGTGTGGAAGACGCAATGTGTCCCTGGCTCAGACCCGATCGTGCCTTCACAGCCTCAGTGACCGAGGACCGTGCTGGGACTGCTGTCTTGGTCGCTTTTCGCAAGTTAAGCCCTCCAACCTAGAAGCGATGGCCTCCACTCTATTAGCGATGGCCTCCAACCTAATAGGAATGGCCTCCAACCCTAGGTTTTGACTTATGGCTCAGTGAAGTACAAGAAGAAGTTCCATTTCAGGTACTCTACTAGTTTGACCCTTCTTTTCTCGAATCATTCTTGACTCTCAGGTCCTTCTGGAAATCCCAGTGCGCTGGCACTCATATCTTCAACTCGGTCTCCTAGGATTCAAGTTTGGCGCTACTAGTAGCAAGGACGCTATTAGGTGGAGGGCATCGCAAGTAGGTTGCAGGCCATCGCTACTAGTAGCAAGAAGCTACGAACGTAGTCCTTTCTTCCCCCTCCAACCACCAAGGAACTGTTGGCGGCGTGGTGTTCGGATCTTTGCAACCCCAAGTCCGCAATGCAGAGTTGACTGACTGGGTCACTGACCGAGAGGATGGGAGACCCACCAGCCACTGGATGTGTTATTCTTTTCCCATTCCAGACCCATCCATGAAAAAACCATCCATGAAAAATTGGAAGATTGAAGAGCTACATGGCTGGCTCAGATGGGTTAAATGTATGTAAAAAAGCATACATCCAGGAAGATTAACATGGAACCTTTGATAGTGTATTTTCCAGGGTGTATATGAGGGTGGAGGCCTTTGAAAAGCCATGGATGCCTTGGGCAGAGGGTGTTTTGAGGGGACCCGTCACCATCCAGACGCCCCACGCCCCGAGAGGAGCTCCAACGAGCTCACCGTGAGCTTCCGCCGCTGGGACCGGTCGGGAGAAGAACAGCAGCTACGTCCGGACCAAACGAAAAGAACTGAAAAGGAGAAAAAAAAATAAGTACCAATGTTTAGAGTCTATATTGTTTGTTCTCCCAACAGTGTGGTTAGTCACTAGGAATCCTTACAGTAATGGTTAAGGACGAGTGTTCAGTCGGAGGTGCTCGCATCCGAAGGCTAAGTCGAAGGTCTTCGAAGTTCCGGTGCGCTGGGCGCTTTCGTGCTGTTCGAGACTGGTGCCGTGCACATAAGCTTAGGGCTTCGTGATCACCTTTCGCGGCAGGTGCAAGGAAAAAATTATTCTTTTGGTGGAAAGTTAACTTTTCATCACAGGTGCAGGAGGTCAGAGCAGAGCGGTTTTATGTCGATGTGCAGATTTCGTGGCAGGCGCAGTACTTTGCAGCGAGCTCCTTAGTCCCCCGAGGTTGAGGCTGATGTCTTCTCATCGGTCCGGGACCGTCTTCGTTCGGGAGAAATGGTCGTGTGCCTGGACATCCGCCTCGAGGGCGTGAAGGTCCCCCTACGGCGGAGACCCTGAGAGGTCTTCCGTCGGCGTCCATCCGGCAATTCGTGGCCCTGCGTGCGTTGGAGGGAACCAAGGTTGGCGAAGTGGCCGACCTCATGGAGCGAGGACCCGAAGGCCAACGGTCACGCTAAACGGTCTTCGCTCGAATGAGTCGAAGCGAAAGGCCGTGATGGATTTTCTGCAGGACACAACACCGGAGACAGAAGAAACCGGCGCAGCGATGTTGCCCAGCGACCCGGGGAAGTCCGCAGAGTGGGACAAGATGCACCGTGGATTCCATGACCTGCTTGCAGATCGCAGATGTTTGTGTCTAGACATCTCTCTCCACCGCTGGACCTCTAGATTTCTGGAGCTATTCTAAACCTGGCTTGCGAACCTCCATCACCACTACCATCATCATGACCACCATCACCACCACCATCATCATCACTACCAGACCATCACCACCACCATCATCACTACCATCATCATCACCACCATCATCACCATCTTCACCACCACCACCACAACCACAACCAGCAGCAGCAACAGCAGCAGCAGCATCACCACCACCATCACCTCCCTCTGGAACCCAATGTGTCTAGATCTCTAGACCTTTTGCTGACCTTTAGACACACTGTTTTGGGTCTCTTGCCGGGATACGTTGTGTTCTTGTTTTGGTCCTATGTGTTCTTTCGTTTTCTTCCGGACCAAGGGGGGAACAGAACGGTTTTGGGATCATCAATTCCCAGAAACCCTGACCTCCCAATCAAAAACAACTGGTGCCCTAAGAACCCCGCACGGGCCCTGTACATGGCAAAAGTCGGACGATTTGAACCAAGACGTCCCCCATGTGAGGCCCCGGATTTTGGAAGGTATGGAATCAACAGCACGAAAATCGCAGCGGTCGCAACGAGGAGGACTGTTTTGGGGGTCCGAAGATCCATGGAGAAGAGTCATTCGCGGTGCGCGCCGGCTCGCGGCGCGGCGTCAAGACTGCGCCATGCGCCGCGAGCCTTTGCGCGTTTGGTTGGAGAAGGTTGGTCCCCAAGTTCGTGGGTGGTTCTTGATGTATGGACTTCGATGTTTGATGAAACGACCCATAAACCATCATAATCACCAAGATGGCGATTCACAGAAGTGTGTCACCCGAAGAAAAAATACATTTTTTGTCACATCTCCCCTCTCGACGAGGTCAACAATGATGACCATGAACTTCTCCATCCGTTGCTTCCAGAACTCCTCCACCACTCCACGCACCGGCGGTGATCACACTGGAGTCTCGGTCGCGATGTGATGGGCTTTGGCGGATGGGGCAACCGATTTCGCTTGGAGAGAAAGGAGACGGCGCGACACCGTTCGCCAGATAAAAAGCATTGCGGCCCGTTGCTGTGGACATGTTGTTTTGTGTTGTTGACGCATACTTGAGATGAAGACCGATATGAGAACCATGGAAATCTCCTTTTGATTTGGTTCAAGGATGTTCAAGGTTAGCATGACGTTAACTGGAACCTCCGCAACAGGTGGATCTTTTCATGTTCATTCTCATCCGCCCAAGAGGTGTATGTTTGTTCCGGGCACGGGGGGGTTTTGGACCTGCGCCGCAGCGATGCAAAGATCGGCAAAAATCGCCTGGGAAGTCTTCCAGCGTTCAGCGAGCAGTTACAGGACACATTTGGACACCCTGATTCTTTCCATGGTTCCAGTGAGTCATCTCCCTTTCAAAAACCCGAAAGAAGGGAGGCTCTGGGGTTTGTATGCGGGAGTCAGCCGGCGTTTGGGTCAAGCTTGTCCTTTCACAACTCCAAGCGATTCACACCCCGTGCAAGTCGCTGAAGGAAACCACAACACGGCTCGTCACAGCCGTCAGTTCCACCATTCAAAGAGCTCGGGGTTTAGACCTGGTTGTTTTTCGTCTAAAACCCTCAAAAAGAGAACAGTTGAGTTGCTTTTGAGATTTGATCCGCGTGGAATCCATACATCGAGCGTGGAAATCCGTTGGGGGATCGCTCCCCCCCAGCCACCGTGAGCACCGCTTCTTCCGTCACCGAGGAACTGGCAATGCAGCGAGAGCAGCTGCTGCAGCAGCAGCTGCTCGGCCACACCAATCGCAGTGGATCCGAAGAGACGAACGGCTTTGAGTGTGCTTGGGTTCTCCTCAAAAGCTGCAGGTTTTGGGGAGGGGGAGGCGCGTTGGTGAGGATTCAGGCTGGACTCTGAACAGGAAGGGCCTTTTGACCTCTTGCTGAAATGAGAACTTATGTCTGCATCTTAGTTTAAACCTCTTCATTGACTTCACCCAGTCCGGTGAAGCGGACCATGTGCTGCGTTTCTGAGTCCGGGACCCGGCGTGATCAGATCAGTCGTCGGGACTGGCGTCAGGATCCGAAACAAAAAAGGGGGTGAAAAAGGTTGGCAACTGGGGTGTTCGGAAACTCATCTTGGGAGCCTTGACCAACCTCTCCCTCGCTTTACTTTGCTGCCAAAGGCTGGATGAAGCACAGCTGGCACGGCAGCACAATGTGCATGTCTCAAGCAGGATTGGCAAACGGTTCAAACGTGTTGTTTTTCACACAGTCAGAATCATGCCCCATTTGAGCGTCAAGCAGAACAGGAATCTTGGATTTTAAGCTCTGGCTATGCGACTGACCAGCGCCCGCTGACCTCGCTCCTGCCCCTGCCGCGCAGCCAATGGAGCCCTGCAGCTTTGAGATTCTCCAAAGCTCTGAGAGGACTTCCGGTGTCCAAAGAGGTCCTTTAGCTTCAAGAGGCTGACTTACTGGTTTTGTTGTGTTTGTTTCTTTTCGAACCAGGTGAGCATCGGACTGTGGCCATAGAGCTCCTTCAAAACGGCTCGACGACGTCAGCCTCGTTCGATTCCTCCCGGCAGACCCGGTCTCCCCGCACGTCGTCGACCACACCAAAGGGGTCAACGGGAAGGGCGCAGGCACCGGGCGAAAGGAAGCGCCCATGTGTGAAAGAAGCTTGGAGGAGTTTGAGCTGACTGTGGACATTGCACCGGGCAAGTTCGATAAACACGAGGTTGGCCTGATACACCAGGGTTGTCATCCCAGAAGAAGCACCTATTTGCAGGTTTCCAGCACCCCACCAGTAACTACCACTTCCCTTCTTCGGACAGAAACGACATACTAATTTGATTGAGCTGGTGCCCATAACCACAAGCCTGTCACATCAGTGTGAATGGTTCTTTTCAGCTACTGGAACAAATTGAAGGAAATCTTGCAGCGACTTCGTTGCCAGATGCGGCCTCCAACAAGATCCTGCGACAGGTCGTTTGGAGCTTTCAAGAGCAAAAGCAATGGCAGTTCATACTTGCCACGCTAGAGGCAGTGAGGGAGAACGCTGCCATAACACCAGATGTGTCCAACTACGCAGTTGGGCAGTCGACTTGCGCCAAGGCCAAACAATGGCAGGAAGCATTGAAGTTGTTTGAGGCTATTCCAAAGGGGCAAGTGCAGCCAAGCGTCATCAGCTACAATGCAGCCATCAGTGCCTGCGAGAAGGGCTGGCAGTGGCAGCACGCCTTGAAGTTGTTTGAGGCCGTACCAAAGGCGCAAGTGCAGCCAAGCGTCATCAGCTACAATGCGGCCATCAGTGCCTGCGAGAAGGGCTGGCAGTGGCAGCAAGCGTTAAAGCTGTTTTGGGCCATACCAAAGACTAAGGGGCGCCCAAACGTCATCAGCTACAGTGCAGCTATCAGTTCCTGCGAGAAGGGCGGGCAATGGCAAGAAGCATTGGAGTTGTTTGAGGACATGCCAAAGTCGAAAGTGCAGCCAGATGTTATCAGTTACGGTGCAGCCATCAGTGCCTGCGAGAAGGGCGGGCAGTGGCAGGAAGCCTTGAAATTGTTTGAGACCATTCCAAAGGCTAAAGTTCATCAAAACGTCATTAGTTATAATGCAGCCATCAGCGCCTGTGAGAAGGGTGGGCAGTGGCAGCAAGCATTGCTTTTGTTTGAAACCATGCCACATGCCAAAGTGCAGCCAGATGTCATCACCTACAATGCAGCCATCAGTGCTTGCGAGAAGGGCGGACAATCACAGGAAGCTTTGAAGTTGTTTAAGGCCATGGGAATGACGAAGGTGCAGCCAGATGTCATTAGTTGCAATGCAGTCATCAGTGCCTGTGAGAAAGGCGGGCAGTGGCAGCAAGCATTGAAGTTGTTTGAGGCCATGCCAAGCGCTAAAGTTCAGCCAACCGTTATTACTTGCAATGCGGCCATCAGTGCATGCGAGAAGGGCGGGCAGTCGAAGGAAGCATTAAAGGTGTTTGAGGTCATGCCGATGGCAAAAGTGCAACCAGACGTGGTCACTTACAGTGCAGCCATCAGCGCCAGCGAGAAGGGCGGGCAATCACAGGATGCGTTGAAGTTATTTGAGGCCATGCCAAAGGCGAAAGTTCAACCAAACATCGTTACTTACAATGCAGTGATCAGCGCCTGCGAGAAGGGTGGGCAGTTTCAAGATGCATTGAAGTTGTTTGAGGCCATGCCCAAGGCGAAAATACAGCCGGATGTGATCAGCTACCATGCAGCCATCAGTGCCTGCGAGAAGGGCTTGCAGTGGGAAGAAGCATTGAAATTGTTTGAGACCATGCTAAAGGCTAAAGTTCAGCCAACCGTCATGAGTTTCAATGCAGCCATCAGCGCTTGCGAGAAGGGCGGTCAATGGCAGGAAGCATTAAAGTTGTTTGAGGCCATACCAAAGTCTAAAGGACAGCCAAGCGTCATCAGCTACAGTGCTGTCATCAGTGCCTGTGAGAAGGGCAGGCAATGGAGTGAAGCGCTCAAGTTGTTTGAAACTATGACACGGGCTAAAGTTCGGCCCAACGTCATTAGTTGCAACGCAGCCATCAGTGCCTGTGAGAAAGGCGGCCAATGGCAGGAAGCTTTAAGGTTGTTTGAGGACATGCCAAATGCAAAAGTGCGGCCAGATGTCATCAGTTGCGGTGCAGCCATCAGTGCCTGCGAGAAGGGCGGGCAGCGGCAGGAAGTATTGAAGCTGGTTGAGGCCATGAGTGCAGCCAACTGTCATCGGCTACGAAGTCGCCATCAACGTGCAGTAGCAAGAAAGATTGAAGCTTTTTGAGACCATGCCACAGGCATCAGTTCAACAACATGTCATCAGCTAGGTTGCTTTGCTTCACAACCCGGAAGACAATTGCTTGCAGTCACAGCTTGTCTACGCACTCCACCGCTTCACGGCTTCACGGCTCCACGTGCCCGGTCCGGGGCTCGCGGACGAGCAGGCTGGAAGCGTTGGAATGGGATGCGTTGGAATGGAATGGAACCACGGAGCCATCAATGAGGCCCAAGTGTCAGTGTGCCCTGTATGACATCTTCAGGTTCAACAGACGATGGCAATTGGACGGCTTGGTCAGCGACTGCCGAAAGAGAGCTGGCATGGAGCGTCTATGGCTTGCAAGAGTCTCAAGAGTGGTGTTTCCTGGGTTTTGCTTGGGGTGATGTTTCTTTTCCCTGTGGGTGAATCCCCTTCTGGTGAATATGTAATCTATTTTTGTCACCGGTTCCTTAAGCAAGTCCAAGGTGTTGAAAGTGTTGATTTCACGCAACCTCTTCGCGATGGACAACCGGTTGACAAAACAGAGTCGAAAAAGGAATCCATTTGCTCAAAACCGACTGCGAAGTGGCTTTCACACCCTCTCACGCCCTCAGAATTGACAGGTGAAGAGGTAGATGACAGGATAAGTTGATGTCGGTTGATTCAGACCATTGGCCAACAGGGCCTGGCCTCAGGGCTGAAGCTTTGTGCTGTGAGCTGGCTGGAGCTACAGCTTGTTCGCCGTTTTTCGTTTCGGTGGAGCTGTGTCGGCTGTGGAGCTTGGTTCCACACTGCGGTGACCTGGAATGGCCGAATTCCGGGAAAAGGGTGCGGAAATGGTGAGAACCTGACCCTGGGGGCGTTGTTGGTGTTTTGGAGAGGATGAACGTGATGCTTCGGATGGGAAGCTTCCGGATAGGAGAAGATCTTTGCCACACTCCGCCCAGACTCAAGAGGGGCCTGTCAAAGCTAGATGATGAAACTGTTGGTAGGTCTTTGGTCGGTTCAGGTTTGCTGCTAGACTATACTCAGTCTTCCCAAGTGGTACTTGAGACAATGGAGGGCTTGTCACAAACGCCCTTTGGCAGTGGAGCCAAGAGTTCTCCAAGCCTACTTTGTTCATATCCGCGGCTCTTGGATGTGGTTCTGCAGCCACCAGTGTGCTACCTCAACCACCTCCTTGGCCATCATTTCCCATGTTTCAACCAACCCGTTTTTGGGACGTCGCACCTACTGTGAAGAACACCTCGGAGCTCAGGCTGCAGCAGCAGGTGCAGCAGCAGCAGCAGCACCTGCAGCGTGAGGATGACGAAATGTTATCGCGGCATGACGCTCTCAGGCGCCTACCTACCCGGTCAGTGGATCACCTGCAAAACCTTGTTGGGGGAAACTGAGGGAGTCAGCATATGCAGTGTCTAAGGGCTGTGTGTGTGTGTTTTGGGTCTCCACAAAAGTGGGAGCATGTGTGGGAGGATGGTCTTCGCTCCGGTTTCGTCGATGGATGGAATGGGTCGATGCGGTCCCATTGGGACCCAGCAAAGGATGGCCGGTCCGGGGTGACCAGTTCCTCTTGTCAAGGAGAGCAATCAAAAAGATGAATGAGGGACTGCTATGCCGCAGTGTTCCTTCGGTACGTTGTGGGGAGGAGCTGTTTGATCTTGATGAGAAGAATGAGAAGCAGAAGAAGTGAAGACCTGTTCAACAAAAGGGGAGAAACTGGATGTCAGCCTGGACGGAACATCAGTCTATCATCATCTATATATCTACTTTCGCTTCTCTTTCTGCGGGTATGGATTCCAAAAGGTTTGGATCACTTCCATGTTGTTGGATCAGTTTGATCGGCGGAATGGGCACCCAGTTCGTTCGTTCGGTCCAGAAAGCTATGGCAGGACATTCCCATCACTGCAGTTCCACCTGGAAAAAAAGGAAACGATGCCAAAGAGCATTGGAACTGTGAAAATCGTTCGACGGTAAGGCAGAACGGCGTGGGGCCGGTGGGGTTGTTTCGGTCAGTTCGACCGGCGCCGTTCGGCTAGCCGAACGCCACCGTCAAGCCGAGATCGTGGGAGTCATTGGCCCAGCAAGTTGCGAGGTGCGCAGTATCTGGAATCGACCTTGAAGGATGTCCCACAACCCGGCAGTTGGGGCTTGGCACAAGCTAGCACAAGCGCTAAGCCACCCATCTCACGAAAAAACAGATCAAGGCAACCATCCACGGCCCTCTTCCTCTTTGCTTCCAGCTACAGGGGGACACGTCTTGGTCGAGCTGCGCGTCCGCAGATCCTTCGGCACGGACGTTTCCGCGAACGCCAGGAGAAGGAGACGGCCACACGATGAATCCGAGCTGTGCTAGGCTCATGGGGCAATGAAAAGGACTGTGGCAGAGTAGGGGGGTAGGATTGGGTGAGGGCGGATTTCGGCATGGGGTTGGTTTAGGATCACAAGTCATCGCCTCAGAGTGAATTTTCCACTCACCAACTTCTTGGAAAGAGGTCTTGGTACTTTGCACGACCCGGCCTTGGGTTTTTCGTGTTGGAACATTCCCCAACAGCACCACGAGTTGCAGCCAAAAACATATCGTCCTCCAAACATCGGGTTCATACGATGCTAGTCCCAAACAGGTCGTCTTTGGGACCCTCACTTGGTTGGTCGTTCTTCCATCCGGTTGGTCCCAACGGGTGAGGTGGACCACCTGGTGATGTTGAGCCAAGCTCGTGTAGAGGGCGGATCCAAAGAGAAGAACGCCCACCGTTGGTGGCATTCATCAAGCAGGATGGATTCACCCCTGGGCCCCTAACTATAACGAGCGATGAGTCTGTCACTTTTCTATAACGGGACGGATAAAATCATACGTCTTCTTCGCCCTGAGTAAGTAAACATCACTCCCAGCTGCGCTCGCTCTGCTTCTGATCACGCCACCGCCAGGCACCGACAGAAACGCGGACGCGGGAGGCAAACGCGCCTGGAGCGGCAGATGCACGGCCTCAAGAAAGGCGGCGCAGCGGTCGCCGCGGCGGAACTCGGACCGAAGGAGTCGGTGTCCGGACTCGAGTCCACATGGAACCCGATGTGGGTTCAGCGTGGGGGTTCACCCCGAGGCAATATGAAGACGAAGCTATTTAAATGTCAAGTTCTCAAGTTGGCAAGACTCAAGTACGCCTCAAAGAAACCAGACAACCAGCAAACATTGGCAAGTTTGTTGCCAACCACAACACATCGACACTGAAAAAGGTTCCCCATCCAAACCACTTTCCACGGTCCGTACCCAGAACGACCAGGCCTGCAGCAGCTGCGCCCAGCGGAGCGGCGCCAGGCACTCGAGCAGCTGAGCCCGGCGGCGCGTCGGGGATGCCCGGTTCGGGGAGAGGCGCGTCGGGGGAGAACGAGGAAAAGAGATTGGTTCTTGTGCTGAAAAGTTTGGAAGAGCAATCGCACAAAGAAAAGGAACAATAAAAGCAGCCATAAAAGAGAAAAAGGAGAAGGAATCAAAGCGGAATGTGTTTTTTCTACTTGTCTTTGGGATTCGTGGCCTTCCTTGAGAGACAGCTCAGCTTGGGTGAGTGGGAATTGGGCGCAAAGTGTGTGGCCCTCGATTACCCAACCGGATGCGCCATGATGCACCAGCCGTGCTGCATTGAACGGGTGTGTTGAGCAACCAGTTTTTGGAGGAGTTCGGGGTTAGTAGCTTCTAGCTACTAGCAACTAGTAGTAATGCACTTGTTACTAGTAGCGATGCGCTTGCTGTAGCTTCTAGCTACTAATCTACTCAGCCTTTGGAAGCGGAAGCAAGCTGGCTTGAGGCCAAGCACTCTTGCGCTTTATGACCAAGGACTGCCTGGAGCAGATCAGATGGTCGAGAGTCTAATCGACCTTGATCGGAAGATACCATGCTGGTCACTTCCATTGACCTTCATCCAAGTCTGGGGGAACATGTTTCTCGTAGCTCAGCTCCGATCTGATCAGAAGTGGCCAACATGGATCCGAGGGCTACGGAGCTGAGCGCTGTTGATGGACCAGGTCTTGGGCATGATTCAGAAACACTACGTAGTGAGGATACCTTTGTCCACCGCGAATACCGGCCAGACGGAATGTCCGTTTTTACGTCGTGGTACGAGAATTTGCTCCATCAACAGCACCCATCAATGGAACTGGTTTTCCTGGGTGTGTAGCTCAAATAGGGAGACCGAACCGACGGCCGGCGGGCGTAACCCGATCCCCGGGTTTTGGGTTTGGTTCGGGAAGGTTCGACCAGTCTACCCAGCCCAACACCGAGGAGTTCTCCCGTTCGGTTGGCGTCTTTCAGGGAGAGAGCTGGATGGCTCCATGTGGAGTCCGAGCAATCGATCGATCAATTCAATCGACGCATGACAAACAGGTTGAGGTGGAAGTACTTTCGAAATCTGTCCAAGTTCTGTCCTGAAATTCAGAGTCGTCATCGAGACAAGGAACAGTTTTCGAAGCCAAATCAGCTGAGAACTTTGGGGTGGAGTTCGTCTCATGATTGTTTTTGCAATCTCTCGTGTCAACCAACGCATCAAGATTTGTAGTTGGGTTTCTTTGGAGTACAGTAGATTTGTGGCGGAATCTAAAATTCAATTAGAAGCAATAGGAACGAAGTTCCCCTGTGATTGAAGTCTTGCACCGTCCATGGTTCTGTACTCTGAGAGTCTGGCTGATCGGACGCCTGGCTAACGCCACGGCTTCCGGAGCTGGACACCTCTCACAGCCAGAGATTTGCAGGACCTCTTTGCTTTGCCCAAGAGGTGCAGTCCAAGGCGAGGCGTGAGAGGGCAGGGCGTGAGAGGGCTGGTCCAAAAAGCATAAATGTACAGGTCACCACTTGCGACTGGCAAAGCCAAAAGCCACCAGAGGAGACCTGTTGCACGTTCGAGGGTCCTGGTAGTCGAAGAAACTACCAGGAGTTCGAAAGGGGGTTGGGAATGGATAGGGATGTAGGTGTGGGTCTGGTGTCCCTTATCGGGGTCGAGCCCAGCCATCGCTTTGGTGCCAGCTTCTTCGAATTGGCCTCTTTTAGAGAGTGTCTTGCACTAAGTCAACTATCTGTGAGCCAAGTGGCCTCAAGTGAGAAGGGGCATCCAATTCGGTCACTAGCAGTCCCATGCTTCCAGCAGAAGCAGCATCATAAGACCCAACAGAGTATCGCAGGTTTGGCCCTGACTATCACACATGCCTTCACACCAAGTAACAAATAGATTAACCATCCTCATGTTTGGTAGTTCACTAGTCACGTGGAGCTTTTCAGTCCCGGATCGACCGAAGATCGAAGATCATCGAAGATCCCACATCGGCCCCTGGTGCTTTCGGTGAAGGTGAGGAGATCCCCCCTCAAATCCCCCCAAGCACCACGGGGAACGTGAGGGATTTGGGGCGGCTTGGGTCGATAGTTGGGTCGCTTTGCCTGCTTGCAGTGTCCAGGTGGTGCTGGTTGGTGCGGCTTCGAAAAGCTTTCGTTCGGCACCGCTCAACGTCTGTGACCGCGTCTCGGCCCAAGACCAGGCTGGTCGCCTTCGTCGCCGGCGCCGAATGAGACGCACCCGGTCCGTTGTTCCACGGAGCTTCGCCGTCTCCGAGCGCTTGCGAGAGAAATGTGAAGAGGTGACGGAGGGAACTATGGCGACTCTGTTGCCGGAG